TGAAGTCCACAAATCATGAAGGGGCCATAGTTTCCCCCATGCTGCCTCAGGAATTCTGGGAGTTGAAGTCCACAAGTCGTGAAGGAGTCATAGTTCCCCCATGCTGGCTGAGGAATTCTGGGAGTTGAAGTCCACAAGTCATGAAGGGGCCATGGTTCCCCCATGCTGGCTGAGGAATTCTGGGAGTTGAAGTCCGCCAGTCATGAAGGGGCCATAGTTCCCTCATGCTGGCTGAGGAATTCTGGGAGTTGAAGTCCACAAATCATGAAGGGGCCATAGTTTCCCCCATGCTGCCTCAGGAATTCTGGGAGTTGAAGTCCATCAGTCATAAAAGAGCCCAGGTTGCCTACCCCTGACTTAACAGATGCTTTGTAGACAATGTGTTTTGTGCGCAACACGCTATAAGGTTTTATTTGTGTGTGTTTTTCCTTTCCAGATGTAAACTCATTCCAGCAAACCACAAAATGGATCGATGATGTCAGAACGGAAAGGGGGAGCGATGTCATCATCATGCTTGTAGGAAACAAAACAGATCTAGCAGACAAGAGGTAAGGAGAGTATCTCTGCACTCCTTCTAGAGTCTCAACATCTTTTTTACAGCGTGGCGACCAAAACTGGACGCCGCATTCCCAGTGTGCCCTTACCAAGGCTTTGTAAAGTGATATTAAAGTATAGAATGTGTAGATGTGACAATAGGACTTGGTTTATTTTATTTAGAGGTTGCTCCGGGTTTTTTTTTTTAACACCTGTGCATCCATTGAGGGTTGGGAGGCCCGTCTGCAATCTTTCCTGTTAAACTGCTTAATTTTTATTCCTCACCATTTAAACAGCATTTTCATGCGCTTGTCTTCTCCACTCCCCCTCCCTACGAATTAGCCCTTGGACTTTGCTTTGTAAATTACCATGTAAATAAAAGCATAAGGCCCATAAGCACAAGCCCTACTAATTCATGGAGGTTTGTTCCTTGAAGCCTCTAAGACCAGGGTCTTCAAACTTGGCCCTTTGAGGACTTGTGGACTTCAACTCCCAGAATTCCTCAGCCAGGCACGCTGGCTGAGGAATTCTGGGAGTTGAAGTCTGCAAGTCATGAAGGCACCATAGTTCCCCCCCTGCTGGCTCAGGAATTCTGGGAGTTGAAGTCCACAAGTCATGAAGGGGCCAAAGTTTTCCCCATACTGGCTCAGGAATTCTGGGAGTTGAAGTCCACAAGTCATGAAGGGGCGAAGTTTGAAGACCCCTGATCTAAGCTGTAGCAACTGTAACCGTTCTGAAACGGTGTTTTTCTCGTTGGTACACAAAAGGAGCGCAATTCTTAGAGGAAGCCAAGACTACACCTCTCTTACTACGATTCTCCTCCTTTCTTTTCCAGGCAAGTCTCTATCGAGGAAGGGGAAAGGAAAGCCAAAGAGCTGAATGTGATGTTCATTGAAACTAGCGCAAAGGCCGGATACAACGTAAAACAAGTGAGTAATGAGGAGCTGCAGGTCCTTACGTTTTAAACCGCAGGGGTCTCCACGGCTGGCTGAGGAATTCTGGGAGTTGAAGTCCACAAGTCATCAAAGGGCCACGTCTGATGACCCCCGGCCTAGGCCTTCCATTAAAGCGAATGCTTTTTATTGGGCGCAGATGTTTTGCAAAAGCCTCAGTGCAGCTCTGCTCCCTCTTACATAAAAAGGTGGAGCCTTAAAATGCAATATGTTGTCCTGCTGCTCTTCTATAGATCCCTCTTCAATTTTTTTTCCCCCCTTCTTTCTTTCTTGATTTTCTCCCTCAGCTTTTCCGACGTGTGGCTGCTGCTTTGCCCGGCATGGAGAGCACGCAGGACAAAAGCAGGGAAGACAGTATCCTTTGATCCACCATCCTTGGTAGAGGGGAGCAATCTAGTCATCGGGGTTGAGGCTTGCAGGGGGGGGGGGATGAGTGCAGCAGGCAGAGGGGGGGGGACGAGGACAGCTGAACGGCATATTTAAAAAAATAAATAAATTGCAGAATGCTTTGGCCACTCAGGCTCCCCCCCTCCTCCTCCCTTCTAGCACTGATGATGTTCCCTAGACCAGGGCTTTTCAACCTTTTCACCCATTGTACCACTTTTAGGATATGGCAACATCCGAGTACCACCAGTCGCCTAGCAAGGTGTCAAAAACTTGATGACCTCCCCCCCCCAAAAGGAAAAAAGTGATATAAAGTACAGGTAGTTCTCGACTTACAACAGTTCGCTTAGTGACTGTTCGAAGTGACAATGGCACTGACAAAAGTGCCCCCCCGAGCCACAGCTGAGCAAGACACCTGCCTGCCCGCCCAGCCGCACACTTCTTCCTGTCCGAGGTTTTCATTGTTGTGAGAATTTCTGTTGAGGATTGGCAGTGGGGGTGGGATGGGGGGGGTGTTTGGTTTTTATTCCCCCCCGTCTGCTGGGTGGTTGCAGCAGGTTTTGGTCGCTTCACATGACCCTGGGACACTGGGACCGTCATAAATATGAATCAGTTGCCAAGCATCTGAATGTAAATCACAAGACCCTGGAGAGGCTGCAACATTCCAGCTGATCGGCGCTTCTTCGGGGCTCAGCGGAAGCGCCAGGATCAGTGCTGAGCTCAAGCTGGAACCTGGCACTTCCACTGAGCCCTGACAGCTCCGAAGAAGCGCCGATCAGCTGGAAAGCAGCACTGATCCTGGTGCTTCCGCTGAGCCCTGACAGCCCTGCAGCTCCAGCCGTCTCTCGCTCAGGCTTGTGCGGTGCTGCCACCGGTTCAGCTCATTCTCCTCCCCCGCTACCACTTTTCTAGGATGGTCGCGTACCACCTGCCAGGTGCCAACGTACCACAGGTGGTGCCCGTACCCCTGGTTGAAAAGCCTTGCCCTAGATGGGTCATGAAACATCTGCAGGAAAGCAACTCAGCTCAGAGAGATCACCAAGGACCCCCCCCCCCCAATATACCAGGGCCTTTCCGTGAAACCTGGAGCTGAGACGCCGTTTTGCCTTTCCGTTTTCCTTAACTTCTCCCCCCTCCCAGTGATCGACATCAAACTCGAAAAGCCTCAAGAGCAACCAGTCAGCGAAGGAGGCTGCTCCTGCTAATAGTGTGTTGGGTTTTTTTTTTTGTTTTGTTTTGTTTTGTTGCTCTCTTTCGTTTTTTCTTCCTTCTTCCTCAAACCATCACTGGCTTCTCCTGCCCCCCCCTTCCTTTCCTCCCTTCCTTCCTTCTTCCCGGGATCTCCCCTTGACCGCCGTGTGGACGGATCGCCTTGCCGCCTTCTTCTCCCCACTAACCCCAGCACGGACCCTCATCGCTGCCTGTCTCGTGAAGATGATCTGTTTAGCTTCACAAGCACAAAAAGTCGGTGTCTTCATCACATTAGGAGGAAAAAGGGGCTTAAAAAAAAAAAAAAGCCCAGACCAGCCCTACGCGTCTCCCCGTAGTTCTAGAAAAGCTGGGGACAACTTTGTTAAGGTCCTGTCGTTTTGTTTTTGTTTTGTTTTGTTTTTTTAAATATATTAAAACGTTGCACTTGTCAAATAGATGGAAGCAGGGGGGCTAAGGAGGGCCGTTGGGTTGTGCAGGGTAGGAAGAGGCCGTTGCGGGCCGTAGTAGAGCGTTAGCGGAAGGGCAAAAAAACTTTAAGATTGCGCTGCCTTTTCAGCCCCGGCGTTTGCTTTTGGGAAAAGCAAAATTCAACGCTGGGTCCTTAAATCGTGCTTTCCCGCTGCGTCGTTTGCTTCCGTTCTTTCGTAGCTCGAACAAACCGGCATCGGCTAAAGATGCACGGATTCCAGATCTTTCGCGACGCCCATCTGGGGTTTAAAAAAAACAACACAACAACCTCGTGGTTCCTTGGAGAGAAACCCCAAAAGTACGGTTAAACTGGCAGGCAGGGCAGTCTCTCGTTTATGGCGTTTCCGGCAATAGTTTCAGAACGGGCACCCGCAGGTGAAGTCCGTTTCCAGAACAAGAGGCAGGTACACTACTGCTTGTAAGGTTCTCCGTAAAGCGAGGAAGGAGGAACACGGGACAAATGAGGCCGTTTGGCAGCTCAAAGACGGGCAACTGGAGGCAGGGAGAGTTATAAAAGTCCATTTTTTAAAAGGACGAATGGGTGGTGGCGGCATAAGATGGAAACAAAGCTTGCAGTTATGCAGCCTGTTGCCTTTACTTTCAGCATGTATATTTTCTTTTTCTTTTTTTTTACATTCGGTCTCGAATCTACGTATGTACTACATAATTTGGTTAAGTAACCGTTTGTTTAGCATTATGTTTAACTTAACTACCATTAACGGTGATTCCCTTCACTATTTATTTTCTCGGCTTTAAATTGGTTCACCTTCAAGAAGGTCCTTCCTTCCTTCCTTCTTTTCTTCCTTCACTTTCTTTTTCTTTCTTTCCTCCCTCCCTTCCTCCATCCCTCCCTTCCCTTTCTTTTTCTTTCTTTTTCTTTCTTTCCTCCCTTCCTCCCTTATTCTTTCTTTCTTTCTTTTTCTTTCTTTCCTTCTCCTTTTCCCTCCCTCCCTCCCTCCCTCCCATCCTTCCTTCCTTTTCCTCCCTCCCTCTCTCCCTTCATTTCTTTCCTCCCTCCGTCCCTCCCTTTCCTTCCTTTCCCTTCCTCCTTCCTTCCTTCCTTCCTTCCTTCCTTCTCTTTTTTGTTTCTTTCCTTCCTCCCTCCCTCCCTTCTTTCTTTCTTTTTCTTTCTTTCCTCCCTCCCTCCCTTCTCTTTCTTTTTCTTTCTTTCCTTCTCCTTTTTCCTCCCTCCCTCCTTTCCATCCTTCCTTCCTTTTCCTCCCTCTCTCCCTTCATTCCTTTTCTCCCTCCCTCCCTCCCTTTCCTTCCTTTTCCTTCCTCCTTTCTTTCCTTCCTTCCTTCATTCCTTCCTTCCCTTTTTCTTTTTTTCTTTCTTTCTTTCCTCCCTTTTTCTTTCTTTTTCTTTCTTTCTTTCCTCCCTCCCTTTTCTTTCTTTCCTCCCTCCCTTTTCTTTCTTTCTTTCTTTCTTTCTTTCTTTCTTTCTTTCTTTCTTTCTTTCTTTCTTTCTTTCTTTCTTTTTCTTTTCCATTTAAAGCTTTGGCAATGTTGCAAGATTCCACGATTTAGGAAACACAGACATGCATATTCTGTCTCACACACATGCGCGCGCGCGCGCGCGCACACACACACACACACACACACACACTGCAGAAGTGCACTCTTAATCTGTGCTAGTCATTGTGAAGTTGCTACGGAAGTTTAACACAATTGTAAATACATTGTTTGCCAGGAGAGTTTGTGGAAGGGAGGGGCGGTGTGGGAAACGCTTGGAAAAGCTCCCCTTTTTTTTTTCTTGGCAAGGGCTGGTTTTTGAAAAGGCCTCAACGCAAAATCCCCCCCCCCTTGCATTGTTGAAGTCAAAAATGGCAAATTCATCCCTTTGACTTGAGTTTCCAGTGATTTTGCATAATCTCATGTTAAAAAGGGCAGATTGACCTACAGATGCTTTTAATGCAATATTGAAGAGGTGATTTTTTTTCCCCTTTTTCTTTTTTTTCTTCTTCTTCTTCAAAGTAGCATGTCTAGAAATAAATGTTTAAACTACGGCAACCGACGATGAACTTAATCCTGAAAAGAAACTCAAGGAGACGGGGCTACTTTTCTTTTCTTTTTCTTTTTTCTCTCTTCCTTGTATCGTCGTTACTCTACGTGTGCAGAAATTTAAACAAAAAGAATCCCATCTCGCTGCTTTTGAATAACTTTTTTTTGAGTTTTCTGTGGTTTGGGTTCTTCGAGCAACTAAATGTGTACACGGGTTAGATTTTTAAAACATGCACAGAATTTTTTGCTTCCAATAAAGTATCTAATCAAAAACACTACGAGAAAAAAAAAAAAAGGTTTCTCCCTTTTGTTTCTTTTGCTTCTCCTGCTCCCTTTCCCCATCGCCGGCCTCGGTAGTTCTGGCTTGTTTCGAACTCGGCGCTGGAGCTGAGCATCACACTCATCCTTTGGCCTCCGAACAGGGAGCGAGTGTGCAAAACTCCCGAGTAGGACGGAGTTTCCCAACCTTGCCAACTTTTAAGGTGGGCAGACTTCAATTCGCACAATTCCCCAGCCTGCATAGTCGTGATTCGCTTAACCAACATAAAAAAATGGGGTCTGATTCTGCTTAGAACCGCAACGACGGAAATCCCGGTCCCTAATTGTGGTTGTTAAGTTGAGGACTACTTGTAAAGCTGCTTCACAGAAACGGGTACAGTGAACCGAACGAGATTTTGCAGCTATTCAGATTGTTGGACGGGCAGGTACAAAAACAGCCAGGGAAATGATTGAAGCCTGGGAAACGGGGTCCCTTGCCAGTCAACAGGAGGTACTGATTTACCACCAGCCTACCAATTACTTAGGAGGTGAGGGCTGGGCAGCACAAGGAAACAACACGACAACAGCCAACACCCCAATCAACATCTAAAAAGTCACGCAACCTGGCACCGTATAGATATCACGCGCACAACAGCCTGAAGTACGCAGCTCGGAAGACGAAATCTTTGGTCCCGATGTCCAACCCAGATTGGATCCTGCGACGTTATCCCGGGAGACGTAGATTCGCCTTCGGTCGTGAATCTAGATTTTACCTAGTTCCTTTCTTTTGCTCTTTCTTATTCCTTTCCTGCGTTTTGCACAGCAGTACTTTTTGCGACCAGGAATTTGTGTGTGTGTGTGCGTGCGTGCATTATCTACCATTTGTAAATTACCATTTCAAGAGTGGCTTTTCCACATTACTCGAGCAACGGCAGTGGTTAAGTAGCAGACAACGCAGCAGCTTTATGGAAGCGTCAGAAGGGCCAAATGCTATTATTTAGTCCAGGGATGGCGAACCTTTTAGAGACCGAGTGCCCAAACTGCAACCCAAAACCCACTTATGCATCGTCGGGTGCCGGGTGGGCGTGGCCCATTGGGTGGGCGTGGCTGCAGTGGTAACGGCAGACTGGGTGGGACTAAAAAGTTCAATCAATCCATTCCAACTTTGCAAGATCTTTTTTTTTCCCCCGCAAGAAGTTGAAATTGACTGATTGAACCTTTTCTCTTTTTTTTTTTTTGCACATGACAGCGGAGGCCTAAAGCGAAAAGGTTTTATAAAACCCAGCTGAAGGCCTAGGACTAGGGCGACGGTGCGCGTGCCCACAGAGAGGGCTCTGAGTGCCGCCTCTGGCACCCGTGCCGTAGGTTCGCCACCACTGATTTAGTCTGTTCTTTACATACTGGGAGGAATTAATTGGAAAATAAAGACAATTCCTTCTCTTAAACACACGTGTAAATGACAATCCTGGTGCTTTTTTTTTTTTCTTTCCCCCACTAGGCTCTCATACCCCCTAATTAAGTTAACTCAGTGTTTCTCAACCTTGACAATTTTAAGGCGTGTGGACTTCAACTCCCAGAATTCCACAGCCAGCAACGCTGGCTGTGGAATTCTGGGAGTTAGAAGTCCACACGCCTTAAAATTGTCAAGGTTGAGAAACACTGAGTTAAATGCAGATGAACTTTAAATACAATTGGTGAGGGGGGAGCAGAAGCCCAAGGCTAAAACAGCCTTTTGAATTGAGGCGCCTGCATTTTGATAATAATGCTTATTTACCCTCTTGAGAAAACGTGGATATTCAACAGGGACCGCTTAGCAGCGGACTGGCATCCGGCCAAACCAGAAGGGAAAAAAAACCCCACAAGATTGCAATCTGATGTTGCGGAAGAACAGAAAAAACAGCCACTGTGTTGAGCATTTTTGTTTTAATCCTTAAATAGCTTTTCTTCCAAAATATACATTATTATCATTAGTGCTTCAAGCGTTTGATGGAATCAAACCGCAAACTAACAGACACAACTGGGATGTGATGGCCAGGTGGTGCGCAAAGAGAGAAGCGAAGCGAGGTGTGTTTGTGACGCGACTACAGGGGGAGGCCCGGCTGGCCCGCTTCCTGGCTTGCTTGGGAAGCCCCCAACCCACCAGCTGAAGCAGACCCTGCCCGCAGGGATGGGATACCCCCAGGAGAGCCACTGCTGGCTAAAAAAAACCCTCGTCCACCGAGAACCGTGGGCACCGCTTCCCGGTGGCTTCTTTTAAAACGCGAGCCGTTCTCTTCCAATGCGAAACGACTTAAATTTTGTGTGCAACTCTCATTCTGCGACGTGCCTGGATATGTGCAGGAAATGCTCCCTCTGAACAACTAGGGAATTTATATAGGTTAGGTAGGTAGGTAGGTCTTTGGTTATTCGGGTTTTCTCCCGAATCCTATATATATAGGGGGGAAAAGGAAAAAAATCTTACCAAAGAAGGCAAAATTGAATCCTATATAAATATATAGGATTCAATTTTGCCTTCTTTGGTAAGATTTTTTTCCTTGTTTTCCCTAAAAAAAATAATTGGTCACTGCCGTTCTCTTCCAATGCAAAATGACTAAATTTTGTGTGCAACTCTCATTCCGCGAAGTGCCTGGATATATATGTGCAGGAAATGCTCCCTCTGAACAGCTAGGGAATTTAAGGATATGTGTGTGTGTGTTGTGTGTATTGGATTCAATTTGGCTTCTTTGGTAAGATTTTTTTCTTTTTTTCCCTAAAAAAAAAATAATTGGTCACTGCTGTAAAGAAAGCGATCAGTTCATCTGCAAACGAGGGTAAGTAACCCTTACAACCAGGAGCAATCTGGCAAGAACAATTAACCAGTGGAACAATCTGCCTCCAGAAGCGGTGAATGCTCCAACACTGGAGGTTTTTAAGGAGAGACTGGACAGCCATTTGTCTGAAATGGTATAGGGTCTCCTGCCTGAGCAGGGGGCTGGACTAGATAACCTCTAAGGTCCCTTCCAACTCTAACACTGAAGGTTTTTAAGAAGAGACTGGACAGCCATTTGTCTGAAACGGTATAGGGTCTCCTGCCTGAGCAGGGGGGTTGGACTAGATGACCTCCAAGCTCCCTTCCAACTTTACTATTTATTATTGTAAGTATTTACTGGGGTGTGACTCAACAGCCGTGTTAACTGCTAGCAATTGTGATGTTTGTGCGGGGCTTTTTGGCCCAGAAATCTCTCTTGTGCTGACCTGGCAGTGTTTCAGTCATTTAGCTGCGCCAACCCCACAAAAGGGTCTGTGCGAAGGTTTGTGTTTGCACGCCTTCCCAAGGATGAACCAGCAACTGGGGGGGGGGGGGGGGGAAATCTTTGTGGCAGACACAGGAATAACCCTAAATAAAATTTTGGTGTGTTAGAAATGAAACTCCCCCCCCCCCCCAAGTTCACCCACAATTCTTTCTCAAAAGCGCTCTGGGAAGGATCTACTTTGCTCACGCACAGAGACGAACAAGGCCAGGAAAAGGATGACTTTATGCATCCACAAACAGATCTGTGGGATTCCCGTCTGCCTGGAAACCAATTGGAGACCGCTCCATTCTTGGCACCGTCTTTCTCCAAGCCTTCCTACGGTAGTGTGTGCCCATTATCCCCAGCCAACGGGGCCAAGAAGGCAGGGCAGGAGCTGTGGTGGCTACCTCGGGGGCCAGGATGCCAGGGAGACAGCAGGGACAAATGGAATGAGCTTAACTCAGCCAGGATGTAGTAACTCTTCACATAACTTGGAGATCAACCTAGAACTAAGGAGAAACTTCCTGATAGTTAGAACAATTAACCAGTGGAACCACCTTCCTCCAGAAGCGGTGAATGCTCCAACACTGGAAGTTTTAAAGAAGAAACTGGACAGCCATTTGTCCGAAATGGTCTAGGGTTTCCTGCCTGAGCAGGGGGTTGGACTAGATGACCTCCAAGGTCCCTTCCAACTTTTATCATTATTAGTATTAGTATTATTATTATCTTCTAACATAAGAAGTGGAGGAAATAGGAAGGTGGCTAACAAGGGCGGGCAAAGGAATTGTACCCACAGGGTATGGTGTAAAAAAAATAATGATCCAATATTCCACTCAGCGATGCAGTTAAATCTGGGGGTTTTTTTTGTAATGTGCAGCCACAAAAACGTAACACAGTTTCTGTTGCGCCGTTGTGGCCCCATCTGGACTTTTTTGACCGTACCCTGGTGGAAAGGGGGGCCACTATGCTGGAGAAGAACAGCCAAGCCACGTGATCTGGGCAGGAAGACGCTGAGAACGCGCCACCGCAAGGACTTTGCGCAAGGCACCGTTTCGCTTGCGAATCCAACAAGCCGGACATCCCAAAGGGAAGCCAACTCGGTTCACACACACAACACGCCGAACCTGGTTACGGAAAACCCACCAGGACTTGGCTCTGACTCTGAGCTGCCAAAAAAAAAAAAATTAACTGGGATTCCACCTTGGCTAAGAAGGTACATGGCTAGTGCAGAAAGGGACTTTATGAAAGTGTCAACAACGGATTTCCAAGCTGGTGGTTCCTCCTACATAACCCTACTACCCCTTTCCCAAACGAAATGCTGACCTATAGATTTGGGGCAGGGTCAGCAACCTCCTGACCAGCCCCGGGGAGTCTTAAAATGAACCAGGGAGGGCCTAGCAGTGCAACATGGGAACTAGGTTACTGTTAACACAGCAGGTGCTTAAAAACCTTCCCAAGGATCTTGCAAAATCCCCGGGGAGTCTATGTGCCAAGTGACCCGTCGGTTTCTCCCTCTTCGCTTTCGAAATAAGGGGGGGGTCTTGCCTGGAAAAAAGAAGGGGAGGGGGTCAGCCAGGCCGGGCTGGCTGGTCTACCAAAAAGCAGAGGGTCAGAACCAACAAGGCATCCACATGAACGAGCCCAGAGCGGCCCCCGTGGCCGCTCCGGCGAGGAGGCCCAGGGCCATCTGATCTCCGGAAACGCGGTGGGGGTCTTCGCGGATGATGACGTGCGTCGTTCCAGGGGCTGCAAGGAAGAAAGGGAGGAAAAATGCATCAGCGCGCATGGAGAGGTTTTGACTGGAAATTCGCGAATGGTCCAAAAATTGGAACAGGTGATCCACTTAACGACCGCAATTGAGCTCAAAATTCCTCTTGCTAAGTGAGGCTTTTGTTAAGCGAACTTTGCCCCCTTTTATGACTTTCCTTGCCACCGCTGCTAAGTGACTCTTTGCAGTTGTTAAGTTAGCAATAATAATAATAATAATAATAATAGTAAAGTTGGAAGGGACCTTGGAGGTCATCTAGTCCAACCCCCTGCTCAGGCAGGAAACCCTATACCATTTCGGACAGATGGCTGTCCAGTCTCTTCTTAAAAACTTCCAGTGTTGGAGCATTCACCGATTCTGGAGGCAGGTGGTTCCACTGGCTAATTGTTCTAACTGTCAGGACGTTTCTCCTTGTCAGAAGGTTGCCAAAGCGGATCGCGTGACCCTGGGACACGGCGACCGTCATAAATAAGAACTAGTTGCCAGCTTCTGAATTTTGATCGCGTGACCGCAGGGAGGCTGCGACGGTCGTTACTGTGAAAAACGGTCATAAGTCACTCTTTTCAGGGCTGTCGTAACTTTGAACAGTCGCTAAATGAACTGTTGTAAATGGAGGAGAGCCTGTAATTGATTTTTTTTTAATCTCCTTTTGTTGCATCTACGGCAATACCCGATTTGGCCACCAGATGTCCCTCCAGCCCTCAAGATGTGTTCAGCCGGGAGGAATGGCTGATTTGGGAGAAATTGGAATTTAATCCAGGCCAGCAACTTCTTAGTGAATTTAAGGTGGGTGGACTTCAACTCCCAGAATTCTGTGCATTTCTTAGTCCTACACCAGGGAATTCTGGGAGTTGAAGTCCACAAGTCTTAAAAGTTGCCAGGTTTGGAGACCCTTGGCCTCCAGGCCACCACTTCTCAGTGAATTTAAGGTGGATGGATTTCAATTCCCAGAATTCTGTGTGTTTCTCAGGCTGGGGAATTCTGGGAGTTGAAGTCCACAAGTCTTAAACGTGCCAGGTTTGGAGACCCTTGACCATCAGCTGAAGAAGGTAACATTGGTCCAGACAGCCGGGCAAAACACAGTTTCTCTGGCCCTACCATGTGAAATGGCCATGGGTTTCCTGCCCGAGGCAGGGGGTTGGACTAGAAGACCTCCAAGTTCCCTTCCGACTCTTGTGATTCTGTAATGTTTGTATTCTCACAAAGATGGTAAGGAAACTTAAGGAGAAATTTCCTGACGGCGAGGACAATCGATCAGTGGAACGAGTTGCCTTTTGTGGACTGTGAATCCTGCAACCCTGGAGGTTTTGAAGAAGAGGCTGGACAGCCATTGGTCTGAAAAAGTAATGGGTCTCCTGCTTGAGCGGGAGGTTGGGCTAGATGACCTCCAAGGTCCCTTCCAACTCTGTGATTCTGTTAAACTGCCGTGTTTGGAGGACCGGCAGTGCCAACGAAGGCTGATAAGGGCTCCAGGCTAGAAACCAGGAGACGGTGAGTTCTAGCACTGAGCTCCAGCAACCGGTGACGAGAAAGCTCGTAAAACGGGGCAAAACCTGCTTAACGCCTGTCTCGCTTAGCAACGGAAATCTTGGGCTCAGTTATGGCCGTTAAGTCAAGGGCTACCTGTAATCGGATTCCTTCTTTAAACGTCTACTGGGAGAGGGCGCTGGCAGACCTACCGATATACGGGTTGCCGTGATAATCCGAGCTGACGTACATCGCCTGGTACGAGTCCAGGGGTACCGTTTGGTAGTAGTCGTCGTAAGGGTCGTAGAGGTGAACCTGGAAGACAGAAGGACACCCCAAGGTCGGCACCTGAGAGCCCAAAGCGAGTCGGGTCCCCCTTGGGCTGCGGACACAGAATTGGGAGGGCTCCTAGAGGTCATCAAGTCCAGCCCTCTTCCCGGGCAGGATTCCCTACTACACCATCCCTGTCAGCCCTTCACAAGATAAACCAAACTTGCAAACCAAAGGCAGACCGGTTAATGGCACCTGAAGAAGGCAGGACAAGAAGCAACGGATGGAAACTGAACAAAGAGAGAAGCAACCTAGAACTAAGGAGAAATTTCCTGATAGTGACAACAATTGACCAGTGGAACAGCTTGCCACCAGAGGTTGTGGCTGCTCCATCGTTGGAGGTTTTTAAGACGAGATTGGACAACCATTTGTCTGAAATGGTATAGGGTTTCCTGCCTGATCAGGGGGTTGGACTAGATCAGGGGTAGGCCACCTTGGCTCTTTTATGACTCGTGGACTTCAACTCCCAGAATTCCTGAGCCAGCCATGCTGAGGGGAAAGGGAGAGGTTTCCAAGCTGAGCCAGGCTGGCTCAGGAATTCTGGGAGTTGAAGTCCACAAGTCATGAAGGGGTCATAGTTCCCCCATGCTGGCTCAGGAATTCTGGGAGTTGAAGTCCACAAGTCATGAAGGGGCCATAGTTCCCCCACGCTGGTTGAGGAATTCTGGGAGTTGAAGTCCACGAGTCATGAAGGGGCCATAGTTCCCCCACGCTGGTTGAGGAATTCTGGGAGTTGAAGTCCACGAGTCATGAAGGGGCCATAGTTCCCCCATGCTGGCTGAGGAATTCTGGGAGTTGAAGTCCACGAGTCATGAAGGGGCCATAGTTCCCCCATGCTGGCTCAGGAATTCTGGGAGTTGAAGTCCACCAGTCCTAAAAGAGCCAAGGTTGCCTACCCCTGCCCTAATCCCACTGGGACTCCTGGCTGGACACCCAATATTTGTTTTTCTTTCCAACGTCTCTTTATAAAATCAATCCAGCCTTCGAGACGTTTCTGCAACATTAGAAGAACTGCATTTATCGATCGGTAACCAGACGGGGCTGAAAATCAGAAAGTGACTCGGCAAAATTCGCAGGCTGGCTGGGGAAATGTGAGAGGCGAAGTGCCCAGGTCTTAAACGTTGGTCCGACTGAGAAAAGCTGAATGGCTCAAGATTGAGGTTTTCTGGCTGACGGTGCCAGCCCTCCCCCGTCTGCCTTGCCCTGGGTGCTCTTCCGCTTTCTCAATCTGGGGTGCCTCTTGGGGACCTCCTGCTGGCTCCCACGGAGGCCTTGACCAGGTTCACACATGCCTAGTCAGCCACTAGGAGTAGCAAATTAATTCAGTCCCTCTGAAAATGGCATTCAATAAAATCCCTTCTAGCCCTGAAGATGTTCCCTAGTTGGGTCATGAAACGTCTGCAAGAAAACAAACTCGGAGAGCACCATGGACCCCCATAGTTGTCGTCGTCGTCGTCGTCGTCGTCGTCGTCGTCGTCGTCCTCCTCCTCCTCCTCCTCCTCCTCCTCCTCCTCCTCCTCCTCCTCCTCCTCCTCCTCTCCACAATCCCCCACTCCCTTCTAGCACTGATGAAGCTACCTAGTTGGGTCATGAAACGTCTGCAAGAAAACAAGCTCAGAGGACACCATGGACCCCCATAGTCGTCGTCGTCGTCGTCGTCCTCCACCTCCTCCTCCTCCTCCTCCTCCTCCTCCTCCTCCATCCCCACTCCCTTCTAGCACTGATAAAGCTACCTAGTTGGGTCATGAAACGTCTGCAAGAAAAACTCAGAGAGCACCATGGACCCCCATAGTCGTCATCCTCCTCCTCCTCCTCTCCACAATCCCCACTCCCTTCTAGCACTGATGAAGCTACCTAGTTGGGTCATGAAACATCTGCAAGAAAACAAACTCAGAGGACACCATGGACCCCCATAGTTCTCCTCCTCCTCCTCCTCCTCCTCCTCCTCCTCTCTGCAAACCCCTCTTTTCTAGCACTCATGATGTAATCTAGTCAGGTAAGGAAATGTCTGCAAGAAAACAACCAAGCTCAGAGAGCACCAAGGACCCCACAGTCCTCCTCCTCCTCCTCCACATCCACCCCCTTCTATCCCTGATGATGTTACCTAGTTGGGTCACGAAACGTCTGCAAGAAAGCAATCCAGCTCAGAGAGCACCGAGGACCCCCCAGTTCAACCCTGAGCTACTGTCAGAGCATTCAATAATGTTCAGCTACCCCCCCCCTTCAAGACAAGGCCGTAAAGGAGACTCACCTGGGTTGCTTTCGCTTCCAAAATGGCCATCTTCCAGGCTCTGTGGACAAAAACAGGAAAATCAATTCAGCCCGAAGGGGAAGGAGGGATTTTAAAGCCCTCTCCTATCCGTGGCTTTCCTACAATTCCCTGCAAGAATAAACTATGGAAATCTTGCAGGAGGTTCCTGCAAGTTCCAAGACCGGCAACTGACTCACGTTTAGGACGGTTGCAGTGTCCCTGGGGTCACGTGATCCCCATTTGCGACCTTCTGACACAGAGACCCCCAACCTTTGGGGCACCAGGGACCATTTCCGTGGAGAAAGGTTTTTTCACAGACTGGAGAGTGCGTGCTGCCTGCATTCCACGGATGGGGCTTCGGTTGTTTGTGCCGACCAGTTGTTGGCATGCCGTGGACCGGTACCGGTCCACATACCGGGGGGTTGGGGACCCTTGTTCTAACAAGCCAAGTCAATGGGGGAAGCCAGTTTCGTTTAACGACCGTGTTACTAACTTAACCACTCCACTGATTCACTTAGCAACGGTGGCAAGGAAGGTTATAAAATGGGGCAAAATTCACTTAACAGTGGTCTCACCTAGCGACAGAAATTTGGGGGGGTCAAATGTGATCGTAAGTCGGGGAGTCTGGAACATGTTTCTCAACATGGCAACTTGAAGGAGTAATAATAATAATAATAATAATAATAATAATAATAATAATAATAATAATAATAATAATAATAATAATAATATAAAAAAAAAACATCTGCCTATCCCAGGTCCTTGGAAAGGACTCGATAGGTAGACAAAAATGCCAAATCCAGTCTGAACGTCTGGCTGACTGTGTGATGATCAATAATAATAATAATAATAATAAAGTTGGAAGGGACCTTGGAGGTCATCTAGTCCAACCCCCTGCTCAGGCAGGAAACCCTATACCATTCCAGTCTTTTCTTAAAAACCTCCAGTATTGGAGCATTCACAAAATCTGGAGGCGGGTAGTTCCACAGGTCAATTGTTCTGACTGTCAGGAAGTTTCTCCTTAGTTCCAGGTTGCTTCTCTCCTTGATGAGTTTCCATCCGTTGCTTCTTGTTCTGCCTTCAGGCGCTTTGGAGAATAGCTTGACGCCCCTCTTCTTTGTGAACATCAACTCCCAGAATCCCCCTGCCGGCCTTGATGGAGGGAGCAAGCGAGAATCTGAGCTGGAAAACTCCTGGGCTCGTGACGGTTTCCATGAGGGTGGAAAGTCTTCCTCAAATCAGACCGGGTACTTCCGTGAAAGGGGAGGTGGGAATGTAACTTTTGCCCCTCTCTGTGACCTAGCTGGGAGCTCTCCTAGAGGGAGATTATCTTAATCCTGGCTCCTTCGTGACCTCAAGGTCACCCGTGGCTGTCAAACCATCTTGAGTCATAAGTCTAAGCAGGATTAGCCGGGATGTCAGCCTGCCATCTCCGGTTAGTCCTGGAGGGTGATCAGCATGCCAAGATCCCTTTAGCTGCAGAGACTAATGCGCTGAAGAAGCTCAGAAGGGACACTTGGAACTGAGAATAGAATAGAGCTGGAAGGGACCTTGGAGGTCTTCTAGTCCAGCCCCCTGCTCAAGCAGAAGAACCTACACCATCTCAGACAGGTGACTGTCCAGCCTCTTCTTCAAAACCTCCAGTGATGGAGGCACCCATGATTTCTGGTGGCAAGCTGTTCCACTGGTTAATTGTCCTCCCTGTTAGGAAGTTTCTCCTTAATTCCAGGTTGCTTCTCTCCTTGATCAGTTTCCATCCGTTGTTTCTCGTCCTGCCTTCAGGCGCTTTGGAGAATGACTTGACCCCCTCTTCTTTGGGGCAGCCCCTCAGATACTGGAATTCTGCTATCATGTCTCCCCTATTCCTTCTTTTCTTTAGACTGGCCAAACCCAAGTCCTGCAGCCGTTCTTCATATGTTTTAGTCTCCAGGCCTTGGATCATCTTAGTTGCTCTTCTCTGAACTTTTTCCAAACTCTCAACATATAATAATAATAATAATAATAATAATAATAATAATAATAATAATAATAATAATAATAATAATAATAATAATGATGATGATGATGATGATGATGATGATGATGATGATGATGATGATGATGATGATAAAGTTGGAAGGGACCTTGGAGGTCATCTAGTCCAACCCCTTGCTCAAGCAGGAGACTCAATACTATTACAGACAAATGGCTTTCCAGTCTCTTCTTAAAAACTTTCAGTGTTGGAGCATTCACCGCTTCTGGAGGCAGGTGGTTCCACTAGTTAATTGTTCTAACTGTCAGGAAGTTTCTCCTTCATTCTAGGTTGCTTCTCTCTTTGGTTAGTTTCCATCTGTTGCTTTCTGTCCTGCCCTCAGGCGCTTTGGAGAATAGCTTGACTCCCTCTTCTTTGGGGCAGCCCCTGAGATACTGGAAGGCTGCTATCATGTCCCCCCTCGTCCTTCTCTTCATTAAACTAGACATACATGGTGGTTAAGGCGCCAGACTAAAAAGCCAGGGGCTGTGAGTGCCAGCCCCGCCTTAAACATAAAAAGCTTCTGGGTGACTTTGGGCCAATCACTAGGAGACTGGGAGTTCTAGTCCCACTTAGGAATGAAAGTGGCTGGGTGACTTTGGGCCAATCACCAGGAGACGGTGAGTTCTAGTTCCTCACTAGCCATGCAAATCGGCTGGGTGACTTTGGGCCAATCACCAGGAGACGGTGAGTTCTAGTTCTGCCTTAGGAAAGAAAGCCGGCTGGGTGACTTTGGGCCAATCACCAGGAGACGGTGAGTTCTAGTCGCACCTTAGGAATGAAAGCCGGCTGGGTGACTTTGGGCCAATCACCAGGAGATGTGAGTTCTAGTTCTGCCTTAGGCATGAAAGCCAGCTGGGTGACTTTGGGCCAATCACCAGGAGATGTGAGTTCTAGTTCTGCCTTAGGCATGAAAGCCAGCTGGGTGACTTTGAGCCAGTCATCCTCTCTCTCAGCCTAACCCACCTCAAAGGGTAGATGTTGTGGTAAAAAACAGGAAGAGGAAGCATATTAGTTATGTTTGCCACCTTAAGTTATATATAAAATCTAATAATAAATAAATAAAAACTAAAAAAACCCATTTAATAATAACAACAATAATAACAATAACAACAACAACAACAACAAAACAACAACAACAACAACAACAACAACAACAACAACAACAATAATAATAATAATAATAATAATAATAATAATAATAATAATAATAATAATAATAATAATAAAGTTGGAAGGGACCTTGGAGGTCATCTAGTCCAACCCCCTGCTCAGGCAGGAAACTCATGACCGGTCCTTGGGTGTGACCACTGCTTTGCAGATGGATCACGAGCGGTTTCAGAAATGTCGAGGTGATATGACCGAAACCCCACCCGTCACAAAAAGGGGTCAGGGCTTCAGCCACCTTGATTTTTCTGACCCTTCTTGGAAGACCTGCGCTTCCCACAACTTACAACGCATCGTCTTCGCTCTCAGCGCACAGCATGGTCTTGGGCCCATCTCTTTGCACAACGCACATCAGGCACTCCCGGGTTTTCCCTTCCGGAGGCTGGATATCTATAAAGACAGGAGAGGAGACATAAGCAGAGAGCCGGCCGGCGGTTTTCTTTCTATTTCAATAACAGGTTTCTAGACCTCAAGGGGATTGTGGTTAAACAAGACACTCCACGGGACTTCCCCCCCCCCAATCTTGCCTGCTCTTCATTAAAGCTGGGTGGGAAATGCCGATCAAAACATGTCATAATATTATTACGAATAATATTTCATTTTCATTTCTTTGTTTTAAATATGTTGTGAGCCGCCCTGAGTCCCGTCGGGAGAAGGGCGGGATATAAATTAAAATAAATAAAATAAAATAAATAAAATAAATAAATTTCTGTGCCTGGGATCAGCATCGGACTCCCAACAGTCTCAGAATGAATTAGGGATAATTTTCATACAGGTCCCTGCTTAAAAAAACTGCAGAAAACACCCCCAGGGCGACGGGGTTGGACTGCATGACCTCCAAGGTCCCTTCCAACTTTATCATTATTATTATTATTATTATAAACACAAGCCAGTTGCCTGGAACACTGCAAGCGTCATAAATGTGAGTCGGTGGCCGAGCATCCATTTTGATCCGGTGACCCTGGGGACGCTGCGACGGTCGTAAGTGTGAATAATGTTCACGTCCCTTTTTTCCAGTGCCGTCGTAACTTGGAATGGTCACTAAATGGACTGTTGTAAGTTGAGGACTCCCTGCAGTTTTAAAAATAAAAGTTGCCGTTGTCGTAAGGTGGGTGGGTGTTTTTTTAAAGCAAAGAACGCCTAAATATCTCTGAAGTGATCCTAGTTGTCTGTTGCAACCCAAGAGAGTCAGCGCATAATTAGGACCTCGGGGAAGAGTTGTCAAAGTAACTCTTGAGTTGTGGAGTCACAGTGAAACAAACAGCACCAGATTAGGCAGCCTTGGCGGATGCCCCAGGGGACACAACAAAACTCAAACAAAAGCTGCCATACTGACCCCGGAGGGCCAAAACCTTCGTCTGTGTGATACACAACAACACAGAGGACACAACAACGCAGAGGCTTGTTGCCTCCCAGGAAAAGATTCCAGGATGTTCGTTCAGAGAGGATGAAAAAACAAGACGTGAGCTCTTTCCAAAATCCAGACGCTTGAAGATGTGGCAGGAGAGCAGTTTATAATAATAACAATAATAATAAAGTTGGAAGGGACCTTGGAGGTCATCTAGTCCAACCCCCTGCTCAGGCAGGAAACCTTGCACTATTTCAGACAAATGGCTGTCCAGTCTCTTAAAAACTTCCAGTGTTGGAGAATTCACAACTTCTGGAGGCAGGTGGTTCCACTGGTTAACTGTTCTAATTGTTTGCAAGGACGGTTTGCAGGAACGAGCTTGGGAGACAGGAGGCAGAGCGGCAAGCTACACAACAGGCGGAGAAGAGACAGCTGAGCCTGCAGCAGAAATGGAGGTGTGACAAAAAGGGACCCTCCGTAGTGTCTTGAGCTGTAAAGGGGAGGGGGGGATGAAATGTATTTTCAAATATACCCTCCAATCCTGGGTTGCATAAACAGAGGCATAGAATCAAGATCACGCGAGGTATTAGTACCGCTTTATAAAACCCTAGTGAGGCCACACCTGGAATACTGCAGCCAATGTTGGTCACCATATCACAAAAAAGATGTTGAGAGTTTGGAAAAAATTCAGAGAAGAGCAACTAAGAGGATCCAAGGCCTGGAGACTAAAACATACGAAGAATGGCTGCAGGATTTGGGTTTGGCTAGTCTAAAGAAAAGAAGAATTAGAGGAGACATGATAGCAGTGTTCCAGTATTTGAGGGGCTGCCACAAAGAAGAGGGGGTCAAATTATTCTCCAAAGCACCAGAGGGCAGGATGAGAAACAAGGGTTGGAAACTAATCAAGGAGAGAAGCAACCTGGAATTAAGGAGAAACTTCCTGACAGTGAGGACAATTAACCAGTGGAACTGCTTGCCACCAGAAATTGTGGGCGCTCCATCACTGGAGGTTTTTAAGAAGAGGCTGAAATCAATCAATAATCAATCAATCAATCAATCAATCAGAATAGAGCTGGAAGGGACCTTGGAGGTCTTTTAATCCAACCCCCTGCTCAAGCAGGAGACCCTATACCATTTCAGTCCAGTCTCTTTTTGAAAGTCTCCAGTGATGGAGCGCCCACGATTTCTGGAGGCAGGCTGTTCCACTGGTTAATTGTTCTCACTGTCAGGAAATTTCTCCTTAATTCCAGGTTGCTTCTTTCCTTGATTAGTTTCCATCCGTCGTTTCTGGTCTTGCCTTCTGGTGCTTTACTTAATGAAAAAGATGTATCTCTACCATATAAGTCCTAAGCCATTTAGAGGTTTAAAGGACAGTGTATCAAGACCTTAACTGGGATAGGATCTCCTGCTTGAGCAGAGGGTTGGACTAGATGACCTCCGAGGCTCCTTCCAGCTCTATTCTATTCCTATCGGGCAGCAAAGCAAGATGAACAAACGGCTATGAGGTTATTGGATGGTGTCCATCAATTTCCTGTAATTCTCTCTCTCTCTCTCTCTCTCTCTCACACACACACACACACACACACACACACACACAAAGGAAGGAAGCAAGAATTAGCTGGAGGCTGGCAGAAAACTGGCCACTGTTCCTTTAGCACTGCTGGCAGTTGTGTTGGTGTCAAATGAAATGATCCTCTGTTTCGACTTGCTGTGTCCCTCCATTGTGTAGGAAGAGGACATTTGGGGTGATTCAGCCCCGCACTGCCAGGACTACAGGAGAAAAGAATGCAAGGTTTTCAAGAAGAGATTGGACAGCCATTTTGTCTGGAATGGCCAAGGGTCTCCTGCTTGAGCAGGGGGTTGGACTGGAAGACCTCCGAGGTCCCTTCCACCTCTATCCTGATGGAACCTTGGTCAATGCCAATGGGTGTTCAAGGGATGCTCCAGATGTTCTGAGATGGCACCCAAGCACTTATCGCTGCCGGTTCTGCCTTAGTTTTCTTTTGCAGCCGTCATTCTCTTTGCATTTGCAGAGTCTTCGCATTTTGTGATTTTTCTCCAGTTCTTTCTCTTCTCTTCTGCTGTCTCCAGGCACGGCCCCATCCACTATCCAGATTATCCAGTACCGATAATAATAATAACAGGCTCCATGGGGGCAATCCCAAAACATCTGGAGCAACACTTGAGCATCATAAAGAAGAGACTGGACAGCCATTTGTCCTAAATGGTATAGTGTTTTCCTCCTTGAGCAGGGGGTTGGACTAGAAGACCTCCAAGGTCCCTTCCAGATTTGCTCTATTCTATTCTATTCTATTCTATTCTATTCTATTCTATTCTATTCTATTCTATTCTATTCTATTCCATTTATTTTCTCCTCCTCCTCCTCCTCCTCCTCCTCCTCCTCCTCCTCCTTCTTCTTCTTCTTCTTCTTCTTCTTCTTCTTCTTCTTCTTCTTCTTCTCCTCTTCCTCCTCCTCCTCCTCCTCCTCCTCCTCCTCCTCCTCCCCCCCCTCCTCCTCCTCCTCCTCCTCCTCCTTCGAGGGGCTGCCAGAAAGAAGACAGGGCCAACGGCTACCTGTATGTGTGACTTAGAAAACCAACTGCAGGGGTTTTAAAGAAAAGAAAATGGAAGAGCTGTTTTGTCAGAGCATTGCCCAGCCGGTCTCCAAATGAAGTCAGAGGCCACTGACGTGAACTTGCAGTTTTGTATAAGTAAATATATTTAGCATCTGTTATTTACAGCAAACTAGATAAGTCAGGCTAACAGGAGCCTCATGAGGTAAACCAACACAGCAGGAGCTTCGTGAGGTAAATTACAGAGCACACAGAAGAAAAAGGCGGGAAAATGGGAACCTCCCCCTCCACACCCACAACAACCAATCACAGGACAGATTGCCTCACGCAGGAGCCAGCCTCTCCAACCAATCAACTACAATTGGCTGTTCTGGCTGACTGCACATACAGACGCACAGACATAGACACAGACACACACACACACCGCTCTTATCATGTTTGCTTCTGTGGTGGTCTCCCCACAGCCTTGAGGACTAGAAACTTAGTTTAAGAATAAAACAATGAGCTTTCATTCTGGTGTTTGTCAAAAGGATCCAGTTGGCAATCCCAAACCTACGCACCCCGGCATTCACGGCCTGTCCTGACGTCTCGACAGTTGGATCTAATGTTAATTCTTCCGTCCATTTCACGGCCGGTATCATCTTGGTAGTAGACGAGGCTGCCATCCGCCCACAGCACGAACCAGTTCCTTTTCCAGCGTCGCAGAATAGAACCTGCACAGGCCGGGGGGGGGGGGAAGAATTAAGAAAAATAGTACAGGTAGTCCTCGACTTATAACCGTTCATTTAATGACCAAAGATACAACGGCACTGAAAAAAGTGACTTAGGACCGTTTTTCACACTTATGACCATTGCAGTCACGTGATCAAAATTCAGACGCTTGGAAACCAACTCGTATTTATGACGGGCTGCAGGGCCCCGGGATGATGTGATCCGCTTTTGCGACCTTCCGACAAACAAGGCCAATGGAGGAAGCCAGATTCACTTAAGATCCGTGGCAAATGGCACAAACCTCACTGAACAAATGTCTCGCTTAGCAACAGAAACGTTGGGCTCAGTTGTGGTCATAAGTCAAGGACTACCTGTATTTACGACGGTTGCAGTGTCCTGGGCTCATGTGATTCCCCTTCTGCGACCTTCCAACAACCAAAGGCAACGTGGAAGCCGGATTCACTTAACAACCGTGTTGGTATCTTAACAATGATTCATTTAACAACTGTGGCAAGGAAAGTAAAAAAAATGGGGCAAAACTCATTTAACAAGGCCTCGCTTAGCAACAGAAATTTTGAGCTCAGTTGTGGTCGTATGTCGAGGACTACATCTACATCCTTGTGAATCAACTCTTTAGCATATATGTTATTATCCTTCAATGCTTTAAGCACTTTAAAAGCTTGGATAGGCTGAGTAATCGCACAGACACGATTCCAAAGCAGCTTAATTGTTCTCCTTTGGTACAATTTATCATTATTCTATTCTGTCATTTCCTCTTTGGATTTAGGCAGCCGCCCACGGGTGACAAAACTCTAGAAAGCTCCCAGACAACAAAAAAAAATAAGAAAACAAATTAAAAGGATTATAAAACAATCCAAAACAACTGAACTAAATGTGCCAGCCAAGGTGGCGCCATCAGAAATGCCAGTCCACATACAGGTGATCTTCGACTTAACAACCATTTGTTTAGTGACCACTTGAACTTACAACGGCACCGAAAAAAATGACTTAGGACCAGTGGTGGGATTCAAACAGGTGAACAACCAGTTCTCTGTGTGGATGCCACTTCCGGAAGTCCATTCTGAGCCCGGGCAACAAAAAATTAGCTACCAGTTCTGCCGAAGTGGTGCAAACTGGCTGAATCCCACCACTGTTTAGGACCGATTTCCATGCTTGTGACCATCACAGCATCCCCATGGTCACCGTGAGGAACGTGGTTTCTCAAGTATATTGCGGGCTTAAACTTGCTCCAGCCAAGAAAGAAAGGGCATACTTTGAAATGGCACGACCCAGTTCAAATATGACTGAATTTCGAGAAATATTTGCTAAAGCAAAACATATAGCTATTATCACAGGGGCTGGAATCAGTGCAGAGAGCGGTGTTCCAACTTTCCGAGGTGCAGGAAGCTTTTGGAGGAAATGGCCTGCACAAGAACTGGCTACCCCAGAAGCTTTTGCACGGAATCCCTCTAGGGTGTGGGAATTCTATCATTACCGCAGAGAATTAATGATGACCAAACAACCAAACCCCGCACACCTTGCCATAGCAGAGTGTGAGGCTAAGATAAGCAAGCAAGGCAGGAGTGTTGCAATCATCACACAAAACATCGATGAACTCCACAAAAGAGCAGGATCAAAGCATGTTTTAGAAATTCATGGTAGCTTATTCAAAACCCGATGCACCAGTTGTAGAAACGTTGTGGAGAATTACAACAGTCCAATCTGTCCTGCTTTAGCTGGAAAAGGTGCTCCAGATCCTGAAACTGAAGAAGCTACTATTCCTGTGGGAGATCTCCCTCGATGCGAACTGTGCAATGGCCTCTTGCGACCTCATGTTGTATGGTTTGGAGAAACTTTGGATTCTAATATCCTTACAGAGGTTGAAAAAGAACTTGAGATATGTGATCTTTGTTTGGTGATTGGAACTTCTTCTGTAGTATATCCTGCTGCTATGTTTGCTCCTCAGGTATCTGCCAGGGGAGTGCCAGTTGCAGAATTCAACATGCAGAGCACTCCAGCAACGGATAAATTCAGATTCCATTTCCCGGGTCCCTCTGGTACTACGCTGCCCCCAGCCCTTGCCTGTAAAGAAACTGAGATGACCTCTTGAATGTTTATGTAATCAGAATTCAAACACGTGGCAACTGACTCATATTTATGACGGTTGTGGTATCCCGGGTGTTTCATCAAGTACTCGATCCACTGGTAGATGTAGGCTGCTGGTTCCTCTAAGGCAGGGGTACCTGTACATTTTAACTGCTTTCTCTCCAAACTCCCGCCATTCTCTTCTTCTTCTCGTCTTTCCCGAGAACCTTCTGGGCATTTCTTTCCTAGCACGTTTTGATCGGAAGCCTGGAACGCAACGGTCGCCCACAGATGTGGGAAGCGAAGAAAGTGCAAATGTTGCAGAACCTCAGGGCCAACTTGTCATCCGACGCTTCGCGATTGGAGCCTTTGCATTGATTTTCCGTCTGTTCTTCTCCTAGGGGGTTTGGACCCCTTCCAGCTCCCCCATTTAAAACCCGTCGATTGACCCACGCAACCTCCGCATGGCTGCCCTGATCTGGTGCAGGGAGGGAGACTGCAGAGCTGAAGAATTTTGAAACTGAATTGGAATGCGTAATTCGGAAGGATGCAGATTTGGGGGGGAAATGCGTGAAAGGACCACGTCCGGGGTCTAAGGCTGGACTAGAACTCACCATCTCCTGGTGATTGGCCCAGAGTCACCCAGTTGGCTTTCATGTCTAAGGCGGGACTAGAACTCACTGTCTCCTGGTGATTGGCCCAAAGTCACCCAGCCGGCTTTCTTGCCTAAGGCGGGACTAGAACTCACTGTCTCCTGGTGATTGACTCAAAGTGACCCAGCTGGCTTTGATGCCTAAGGCTGGACTAGAACTCACCTTCTCCTAGTGATTGGCCCAAAGTCACCCAGCTGGCTTTCGTGCCTAAGGCGGGACTAGAACTCACCATCTCCTAGTTTCTAAGCCAGCACCTTCACCACTACATCAAACTTCCTCTCCACATCACTTTTGGACCAGTATTTGGACAGATGATTTACCACTGTCATCTTCTGGGATCTTTTCCCCTTTACTTCTCACCCTTCTGGAATTCCCATCAATCCGCCCATCCAAATACAAACCCCAGCTGTCTCTGCTTAGCTTTTGTGATCAGCAGTGCCCACCCCCCTCTTTGAGCCTCCCAAAGGACTCCATCACCACCCAGATGGGGAAAACCACCCTCGTGACGGACCTGATAAAAGAAATTCCGACTGAAATTGCACACTAGGAAATCCCCCAATTAACTTACTCTGTCTCCAGAGCCAGCCACATTTCAACAGAGCCATCTTTTGCTGAGTCTTTTTTCCTCCACAGAAGTATCTGGATCAAATAGAATAATAATAATAATAATAATAATAATAATAATAATAATAATAATAATAATAATAATAATAATAATAATAATAATAATAATAATAATAATAATAATAATAATAATAATAATTATTATTATTATAATAATAATAATAATAATAATAATGAGGAGGAGGAGGAGGAAGAAGAGGAAGAAGAGGAAGAAGAGGAAGACGAAGAAGAAGAAGAAGAAGAATCATTATTATTATTGCTTCTTGACTTCGAAGCAATAATGATGATGATGATGATGATGATGATGATGATGATGATGATGATGATGATGATAATAAAAGTTGGAAGGGACCTTGGAGGTCATCTAGTCCAACCCCATGCTCAGGCAGGAAACCCTATACCATTTCAGACAAATGGCTGTCCAGTCTCTTAGAATAGAATAGAGTTGGAAGGGACCTTGGAGGTCATCTAGTCCAGGGCTTTTCAACCAGTGGTAAGGGTACCACCTGTGGTACAGTGGCACCTGGCAGGTGGTACGCGACCATCCTAGAAAAGTGGTAGCGGGGGAGGGGAATGAGCTGAACCGGTGGCAGCACCGCACAAGCCTGAGCGAGAGACGGCTGGAGCTGCAGGGCTGTCAGGGCTCAGCGGAAGCGCCAGGATCAGCGCCAGGATCCAGCTGGAGCTCGGCGCTGATCCTGGTGCTTCTGCTGAGCCCAGAAGAAGCGCCGATCAGCTGGAATGTTGCAGCATCTCCAGGGTCTTGTGATTTACATTCAGATGTTTGGCAACTGATTCATATTTATGACGGTCCCAGTGTCCCAGTGTCCCAGCAGAGGGGGGGAATAAAAACCAAACACCCCCCCACCCCACCCCTGCTGCCAATCCTCAACAGAAATGCTCACAACAATGAAAACCTCGGACAGGAGGAAGAGCGCGGCCGGGCGGGCAGGCAGGGGTCTTGCTCGGCTGTGGCTTGGGGGGGGCACTTTTTTCAGGGCCATTGTAACTTCGAACAGTCACTAAGCGAACTGTTGTAAGTCGAGGACTACCTGTACTTTATCCCTTTTTTCCTTTTTTTTTTTTTTTTTGGTCATCAAGTTTTTGACACCTTGTTAGGCGACTGATGGTACTCGGATGTTGCCATATCCTGAAAGTGGCACAATGGGTGAAAAGGTTGAAAAGCCCTGGTCTAGTCCAACCCCCTGCTCAGGCAGGAAACCCTATACTATTTCAGACAAATGGCTGTCCCGTCTCTTCCTAAAAGCCTCCAGTGCTGGAGCACCATCACTGTGAAGAGAAGAGAAGAGAAGAGAAGAGAAGAGAAGAGAAGAGAAGAGAAGAATAAATGGAATGGAACGGAACAGAACAGAATAGAATAATAGAATAGAATAGAATAGAATAGAATAGAATAGAATAGAATAGAATAGAGTTGGAAGGGACCTTGGAGGTCATCTAGTCCAACCCCCTGCTCAGGCAGGAAACCCTATACCATTTCAGACAAATGGCTGTCCCGTCTCTTCTTAAAAGCCTCCAGTGCTGGGGCACCATCACTGTAATGGAGAATGAAGAGAAGAGAAGAATAAATGGAATGGAACAGAACAGAACAGAACAGAATAGAATAGAATAGAATAGAATAGAATAGAATAGAGCTGGAAGGGATCTTGAAGGTCATCTAGTCCAACCCCATGCTCAGGCAGGAAACCCTATACCCTTTCAAATGGCTGTCCAATCCTGAAAATAATTTGGTTTTTAGCAAGAGGTTTACACTGTAGTCCTACTGCCAGCTTCCGTGAGAAAATCGCGGTCACAGGGCTGCTAAATATAGACCCAAGTTCCTGCTAACCTGATCTCTCTCTCTCTCTCTCTCTCTCTCTCTCCCCCTCTCTCTCTCTCTCTCTCTCTCTCTCTCTCCCTCTCTCTCCTTTTTTTTAAACGTTCTTCCTGAATTATCCCCGTTATGTAAAATATTTCAAGGCAGCCCCAGAGAGAGATAATTCATACCCCTCGGTGGGATTTAGAGATTAGCGCTTGAATTTGTCTGGATCCGAAGCCCTCCGGTTTGTTGTTGTTATTGTTGTTGTTGTTCTCATTAGGAGAATCCCCGGAGATTCCTGAAAATTCTTTCAACTCGTTGGTTTTTTTTTCCTTCCCCAGGCTGGGTTTTTATGTTTGTTTATTTGTTTGTTCTTTTTTTTTTGCAAACATCCCTATTCTGGTTTTTTTTCAAAGTCTGTTCACATAATGCCCCCTGCCTGGGCTGTGTAAACACAGATTCAGGAACAGAAGCCAAAGGGGAGTAACACCACCCACCCGTTCCCCATTCAACCGCCAGATGAACGAGACTGTTTGAAAACATCTCCTTCTGCTATTCCGCCAAAACCACACAAAAGAGGCCTGGGATTGGTGCAAAATGCAAACAGGGCAGACCAAAACACCGCTTGATAATGCCTTGGTAAGGCCATACTGCATCCAGTTTTGGTTACCACAATGTAAAAAAGATGTTGAGACTCTGGAAAGAGTGCAGAGAAGAGCAACAAAGAGGATCAGGGGACTGGAGGCTGAAACATATAAGGAACGGCTGCTGGAATTGGGTACGTCTAGTTTAATGAAGAGAAGGACAAGGGGGGACATGAAAGCAGTGTTCCAATGTCTCAGGGGCTGCCCCAAAGAAGAGGGAGTCAAGCTATTCTCCAAAGCGCCCGAAGGCAGGACAAGAAGCAACGGATGGAAACGAATCAAGGAGAAAAACAACCTGGAACTAAGGAGAAACTTCCTGACAGTTAGAACAATTAGCCAGTGGAACTACCTGCCTCCAGAAGCGGTGAATGCTCCAACACTGGAAGTTTTTAAGAAGAGAACGGACAGCCATTTGTCCAAAATGGTATAGGGTTTCCTGCCTGAGCAGGGGGTTGGACTAGATGACCACCAAGATCCCTTCCAACTTTACTATTATTATTATTATAATTAATCAGTGGAACGGCTTCCCTTCAGAAGTTGTGAGTGCTCCAACACTGGAAGGTTTTTAAGAAGAGACTGGACAGCCATCTGTTTGAAATGAGTATAGGGCTTACTGCCTGAGCAGGGGGGTTGGACTAGAAGACCTCCAAGGTCCCTTCCAACTCTGCCATTCTGTTATTCTGACCCAGGTTTCTACAAGCCCCCAGGATAGGCCTGATTCGCATCCAGACCAGTAAGAGAAGGGAACAACCTCTGAGACCCAGCTTTGGAGTCGGGGGGGGGGGGGGCAGTCCCCAGCCTCTCCGTTGGCTTGGAGACAAATTGGGTCATTGGCAAACAGAAACTTGGGACTGCCCTGAAAAGCCAAATCTAGGAAGACCGTGGGGATATGCAGAGAATCTGCACTTAAGCCCAGAGTCAAGGCCGGGGGCACAAGGGTGCAGGACAAATATTAGGGGCACATGACAAATGTTAGGGGGACAAGGGGTGCACGAAGGGGAAGCAACCCCGTTTCTTAGCCCCGAGTGCCCAGGGGTTACCATCCAAGGGAGGAAGGCGCACACAGAGAGAGGTGCCTGGAAGGGACCCCGGCCGCTCTCCAAAGCCGGCGAGGGGAGACCCTTCGCCCCTCTTTCCCGACTCGCAAGGGGCTGCTTTGGGTCCCGCGACCGGCTAATCTCCCCCCCCCCGGTCCCCATTCACACAACCCCCCACCCCACTGCCCGCATTTGGGCCAGGCTCGCTGCGCTGCTGAAGCCGGGCAGAGGCGCAGATGATGCGTAAAGGCGCAGGGAGGGAGAAGGGCAGGCGGGTATCCCGGCCGCGGCGGGTCTCCTGGAGCCTCCCGGGCTTACCTGGGCTCGGGAGCCCCAGAGCGGGCTGCGCTACGGCTTCCTCCTCCTCTTCCTCGGCTGCCACCGCCGCTTCCTTTCCCGGCAGACCCGCCACGGAGCTGCAAGCGCCGGCGGAGCTGGCCTCCCCTCCGCGCCCGCCAGCTAGCGTTTGACGCGGCCTGCCGGGAGTTATGGGCTGGGCTGGGCTGGGCAGGGCAGGGCAGAGGCGGCGGGGCTGGCCTCCGTCTCTCCCCACGGGCCGGAGGAGGCGCCCGCGAGCGATCCAGGCAGCCCGGCGGACCCTGCGCTTCGCTGGGCTGGCTGGACGGAGCGCGCCCTCGCCAGGATGGGAGAGCCGGAGACGCCCAGCACCGTGCGCCCTTGGCACATGCCGGCCCCTCTGACCCATCATCCCCAGCCTGAGGAGGAGGCCGAGTCCCGTACCGGCTAGGAAAGGAGGGCAGCGAGATTCGATGCTCTGGTTCGCTTCTCATGGATTTACTGTAAGGGCGCGCCTCTATTCAATTGCAGAATAACAAGAGTTGGGAGGGACCTTGGGGGGTCTTCTAGTCCAACCCCCGGCTCAAGCAGGAGACCTTGTACCGTTTCAGACAAACGGCTGTCCAGTCTCCTCTTAAAAGTCTCCAGTGATGGAGCAGCCACAACTACTGGAGGCAAGAATAGAATAGAATAGAATAGAATAGAATAGAATAGAGCAGAGCAGAGCAGAATAGAAATACAGACTAGAAATAGAAATAGAATAGAATACAATGTGGAATAGAATAGAATAGAATAGAATAGAATAGAATAGAGCAGAGCAGAGCAGAGCAGAATAGAAATACAGACTAGAAATAGAATAGAATACAATGTGGAATAGAATAGAATGGAATGGAATGGAATGGAATGGAATAGAATAGAATAGAATGGAATAGAGCAGAGCAGAATAGAAATACAGACTAGAAATAGAAATAGAATATAATACAATGTGGAATAGAATAGAATAGAATAGAATAGAATAGAATAGAATAGGAGTAGAATAGAATAGAATAGAATAGAATAGAATAGAATAGAATCTGGAAGGCACCTTTGAGGTCTTCTAGTCCAGCCCCCTGCTCAAACAGGAGAACCTATACCATCTCAGACAGGTGGTTGTCTAGTCTCTTCTTAAAAACCTCCAGTGATGGAGC